TCAGTAACAGTTCAACAACTTGGTCATGACCACTGCAACTAGCATACATCAAAGCAGTCCATCCATCATTACTTCGAATGTTAAAATCTGGATCTTTACTAAGTAAGAGTTCAACAACCTGGTGATGACCATAGCGACTAGCATATATCAAAGCAGTCCATCCATCATTACTTCGAATGTTAAAATCTGGATCTTTACTCAGTAAGAGTTTAACAACCTGGTGATGACCACAGCGACTAGCATACATCAAAGCAGTCCATCCATCATTTTCTTGAATATTAATATCTAGATCTTTACTCAGTAAGAGTTCCACAACCTGGTGATGACCATAGCGACTAGCATACATCAAAGCAGTCCATCCATCACTATCTTTAATGTTAATATCTGGATCTTTACTCAGTAAGAGTTCAACAACCTGGTGATGACCATAGCGACTAGTGAGCATAAAAGCAGTCCATCCATCATTATCTTGAATGTTAATATCTGGATCTTTACTCAGTAAGAGTTCCACAACCTGGTGATGGCCATAGCGACTAGCATACATCAAAGAAGTCAATCCATAATTATTTTGAATGTTAATATCTGGATCTTTACTCAGTAAAAGTTCCACAACCTGGTGATGGCCATAGCGACTAGCATACATCAAAGCAGTCCATCCATTATTATTTTGAATGTTAATATTTGGATCTTTACTCAGTAATAGTTCTACAACCTGGTGATGACTGTAGCGACAAGCAAAAATCAAAGCAGTTACTCCATCATTATTTTGAATGTTAATATCTAGATCTTTACTCAGTAAGAGTTCCACAACCTGGTGATGTCCATTAGCACTAGCAAACATCAAAGCAGTACTTCCATGTTTATTCTGATAATTAATATCTATTTTTAATTGTAAAAGAAACAAAAAAATTTCCTGGTATTCCTTGTCATTATGAAAATTACTGATAGCATCACTAAGTGATTGCTCAAATTCAAAGTTTACATCTTCAACATTTTGAATGATGGTTTTATTATTAACAATTAGTTGAAGTATACCAAAATGATACATAAACACTGCCTGACTATGAGCCATTTGTACAAGAAGATGAGCATCTTTTTCTGAAGAAATCACAAAGTGAATTGTTATTGATCCTTCAAATGAATCATCATAAGTAAGAGAGTCAGCTTTTTCACCAAAGAAATGTTGCATCAGCTTACGTAAATTATTTATAGATTGCTTGGACCACTTTTGTGATAGTTTGAGAATTAGTTTGCTCTTGTTAAAAGCAGTTTCTTTTTGTTCAAAAGCAGCAATAGCTTTTTTTTTAAGGTCAGAAACATTGGCCGAATGTACAAATCTTTCAACATCATTGGCATAATCCTCAAACCTAGTTTGTAATGCATCATCAATAGGGAATGCTATTAGTATTTTCTTTATAGATTTAATGTCAAGTAAATTAAAATAAGACTTTTCTTTAAGCTTTCTAAATATGTCATCAATTTTTGTATTCTCATGAGCAAGAGAATCAAGTCCATCAAAGCAATCTTCAACAAACCTAGCAATACTAATGATACTGTGCTTTTCACTATTATCATAAAACTCTTTAATTTTAGTGAGGAGCACAGCAAACTCAGAATTTAAGTCATCAAGTTCTTTAGCAATATTCTCTTCAGATTTGAAATTGATGCTGAATATAATGTCATAGCTTGATGTCGTTGTCAATGATTGATGCATATAGAAAGATATCTCATTACATTTTAAAGCCTCATTATCCCAATCTCTGGCTAATGCTAATGCCTCCTTCTTTGCAGGACCCCCCACACTAGCAATACATTGCAAAAATGTGAGACAATGCTCCCTTAGCAAAGCTATATTTCTTTCTTGTATGCACATCTCTACTATTGCTAAAAACTCAACTTCTATCTTTTCTAATTTTGGCTCTTTTCTGACTATACGAGTTATTAATCCCTTGCTGTACAACTCATCAGCTATTTCTTGAAGACTGCTTTCAGTAGCATGGCCTAACTGAGAATAATGACTCCTTAGAACTCTTGCCACAGTTCTGCCTGCTCCTTTATTGCTTTTAATTATTTTTTCTTCTAAAAGTAGATGAGCAATAACAGCCTCATCATTAGCCAATAAAGTATGAATAATACTCTTCCATGTTATATCAGGATTATTGTCAAGCCAGTATTGAGCTACTGCACTTACATAATCAATAGGATCAGTGGATTGATTGAATTCCTTCACTCTCTGTTTAATTCTACTCACAATATCTTGTGACATGTTAGGAAGACAACAGACAAACTGTTCCCAAGTACCAGCAGTAAACTTTGAGCTACTCAATAGCTCAACCAATTCATCTTTTGTTGGCTTATCTATTATGATGTATTAATAAGCAGTGCACAGATCAGCCTTACCTTTAAGAGTGGGTCCAGGATTAAGTTCCACATCTCCTGATATGAAGAGGAGGATAAGAAGACAAAAAAAGGACAAAATGGACCTAATAATAATCTTCTCTTGTGAAGTATTACTAGCTCCATTGGCTCCACAGTAAGTGTTACCAGTACTAGTACAAGCACTGGGTTGTCTCCAATGGCGGGAACAGTTCCAGGATCCTATTCTAGCTCTCCACTGACAAAGATCAATCATGGCTAATAATTAACTGCAAGCTGGGACTGAGAGGTGTGGCTCGTACAAACTATTGCCCCTGGATGTTACCATAAATGGTGTTACCATTATGTGATAATTACTCTAATATCTATGGTGCTACTTGCAAGTTTTGCTAAAATTAGAAATAAATCAAAAATGATCAAGACTGAAACAGGAGGAAGGTAGAAAATTAAAATGGCAAAAGAATAAATTAAGAGATATAGTCATTAGTCCTAGCAGCAGCAGCTGATGGTGACTCATCAATGAACTGTTCTATTGAAAATGGCATTGAATCTCCTTCCTCCTCCTCATTATTATTAATCAGTTCTTGTATTGAGCTGGTCATGCTAGGAATACTATAAGAATCATCAACTTCACTAGTAACACTATCAGTGCGAGTAGGCGTAACTGGAACAGTCGCTAACTCCGGGGGCAATGATGGCAACTCATCATTTATAATAGACTGTAGTCCTCCATTGTCTAGTAGCTGCTGTGATTGAGATACTGTAGAATCAGCTACCTTTAAGTATGCATGATCGGTTGTATAGCTGGATGAAGTTGGATGTGATTTTTGCTCTGAACTCTTAAAAGAGTAAAAAGATGGTATACCAGTATAGGAAGGAGTGGTAGGACTCTGTCTTGTAACAACAGTGCTGGATTGTGCTGCAGTAGTGCTAGTCACATTAGCAGCATAGAAAGAAGAAGAGAGAGGAACAGTAAAGGGATTAGAGCCACTGATGTTAGCTACATAATCCAGTGATTGCTTTCTGCTATCATTCCTTCCATTACTAGGGTAGCTAGTATTTTCCTCTGTAGTCTGTCTTCTCATTCCTCCATTAATGACAGGAGCTGTAGGTACAACTGATGGTTGCTTTAAATTAATTCTTGTTGGAGATACTGGAGGTATTGCAGGTAGATAATCTGTTCCTGTTGCATTTGATCCAGATTGACTCATACTTAAGCCAAATGAAGCTCCTGGTTTTGAGCTTGATAGTGATCCCAGTGGTGTAGAGAACAAAGATGGTCCTACTGGTTGACTCATCACTGATTTTGATACTGAACCCATTGATTTTAACGGCGTTAACTGTGACACAGTCGAGTATAATGATGACGGAGTGTTAGCTTGAGTTGTTGAACAAGGTAGTGAAGAATTAGTAGATGCTGTGAGACTTAAAGGAGGCAGAAAGGAGAGAGAAGAGAAAGGAGAGGGAGAGAAATTAGAGGAGAATGTTGTAGTAGTAGGAGTTTTCGGAGTTTGATGCTGTAATGTCATGAAGCTACTAGTAGTAGAAAGTGATGGTGTATGGACGTTAGTTGAATCAAGAGAATTCCTCTTCATATTTAAGAGTTCTTGAACTGGAGTTAGCTGGAGAGAGGCTCTTCTTTTTGTATCTTCCACTGATGATCTTCTACTAGCATTAGTTGAAGGTAGAGTTGCTGGTTTTTGTTGATTTAATCCAGCGGAGAAAGATTTAGTAGGTGAGACCGGAGGAGAGAAAGAGAATGGAGAAGTTGGAGGAGATGGAGATAAAGGAGAAATAGACAGGGGAGAAAGGAGATGAGGAGAGAGAGGAGGAGGAGAAATAGATTGAATGTTCTTTTGATTAGAGAAAGGAGGCCAGGTTGGTTCACTAATATACTCTGTATTGATCGCTGATAACGGAAATTTAGTTTGATCAGACATTACGTTCATTCCTGTTACATTATTAGCTTCAACTATATAATCACCAACAACAGACTGCTGCAGAGTAATAGTGTCTTTCTGTGGCAAAGCTGCCAAAGAATTCTGACTTCCATCAATAGTGCTCGATAAAGTAGTAGGAAGAAAAGGGAAAAAGGTCGTCCCCACGTCTAGTCCTCCTTTATTCTGCCCATCAATGCTTTGAGCTGCTTTCGGTGTGTTAGGATCGGACTCATACCAACTGGACCTCCTTGTCCTTGAAGGACCAGCTCCAGTGGGCAGAGGACAGCCACCGGATGAGGTTTTAGTAAGAGACAGATTAGAGGGATGGCGAGGAGGATCACGAATGATGGAAGGGTTTGATAAGAACACAGAATCAGTGGAACCTCCAGAAGACAATATACCAGAAGAACTGCTGCTTCTGTTGGAGAGAGAACGAGAAGCAAACGACTGCCTTGAACTTGATTTCCTTCCTCCTTTCGTTCTCCTGGACCCTTCCCTCATACGCCTACGTCCCTGATACAACATTTCATTTTTCCTAATGTTCCTCTCAAAACTGCCCGGAGGCTCTAAGCAGCTATCCTTGCTCTGCTTGCTCTCGTTCCCACTGCTGGTACTGCCCCCCTGACCTTCAACTGTAGCTAGTGACAATAGCGAAGAGCTATTTGATGGTATGGGTGTGTTTTCAGTTGAGCGACCAGTAGGTGGGCGTGTATGAGTGGGTAGAGCTTGTAATGGAACACTAGGAAGGTAATCGCTAGTTTGAATGTTAATTGGAGGATGCTGCATAACGTTCAATCCTCCAATAGTTGATGGGGCATTATTATTTAAAGATAGCATCGATACAGTGGTAGGTGTGGTCATGGGCAGGACCTCGTCTTCAGGGCTAATCAACAAGTCTAATTCAATGTCGTCAAGCTTTGTAGCGGTGGGTGTGGTCTTGTTTAAAGCATCTGTACCTTCTTTTGTGTGAAAGTCCTGGTGGTGTGTATACCCATTATCATCCTGGAAAGAAGAAGGGAAGAGAGAGAGGGAGGAAGGAGGAGGTAACATCACTGATACTGTTACTCCGGGTGGATTAGCTGAAGGTGATAATTTATGAAGCCTGTCACCTCCAAATGACATGTCCAATCCTTCATTATTAGATGCTAAATGAGTGATTGTTGATTTCTTGTGTTTCTGAGCTCCTACAAAAAGAAGGGGAGGTGGTCGTTGACTGTTAGGTCTCAGTTCCTCCTTGTCCCCTGGCTCTAACTCAGTGTGGTCTTCGCTCTCTTCTATATCTTGTAGGTATTGTCGGCTTCGGTACTGATCATCAAGGTATTTCTTCATTCTTTCTTCGTCGTATGGTTTGTTAGGTATAAGGCTTTGTACGATTGTCTTCTCACTGGTGACTGATTCCTCTTCATTGTTGAGCAGTTTGACAGTCTGTTCCTCGTGTTCATGTACCTATAAATGAATGAAAATTAAGTTGTGAAGTGTATACATGTACTTATGTTGTGTATCAAGTTTGAGCTAATTCAAATCAAAATTGGATTTTTTACAAAATTTTAAAGCTGCTCCAAAATTGGGCCAAAGTCTCTGTACCATAGTACAAAGTCATTGGCCTAATTTTGCAAAAATTGACAAGGAAAGAATTCTTCATTTAATGATTTTTTTCCTCATACATATACATGTACTTATGTTGTGTAGAAAGTTTGAACTCATTCTGATCAAAATTAGATTTTTTTACAAATTTTTTAAAGTTGTTCCTATACTGTACTCCAATTTATTATTTCTTACTTGAGTTATTAGTTGAAGTCTGTTACCTCCAAACGACATGTTCCTTTCTTCATTATTAAATGCTAAATGAGTGATTATTGATTTCTTGTGTTTCTGAGCTCCTACAAAAAGAGGTAGAGGTGGTCGTTGACCGCTTGGTCTCGGTTTTTCTTTATTTCCCAGCTCTAGCTCTGTATGGTCTTCGCCCTCTTCTATATCTCGTAGGTACTGTCTGCTCTGGTACTGATCATCAAGGTATTGCTCCATTATTTCTTTGTCGTACGGTTTGTTAGGTATAAGGCTTTGTACGATTGTCTTCTCACTGGTGACTGATTCCTCTTCATTGTTGAGCAGTTTGACAGTCTGTTCCTCGTGTTCATGTACCTATAAATGAATGAAAATTAAGTTGTGAAGTGTATACATGTACTTATGTTGTGTATCAAGTTTGAGCTAATTCAAATCAAAATTGGATTTTTTACAAAATTTTAAAGCTGCTCCAAAATTGGGCCAAAGTCTCTGTACCATAGTACAAAGTCATTGGCCTAATTTTGCAAAAATTGACAAGGAAAGAATTCTTCATTTAATGATTTTTTTCCTCATACATATACATGTACTTATGTTGTGTAGAAAGTTTGAACTCATTCTGATCAAAATTAGATTTTTTTACAAATTTTTTAAAGTTGTTCCTATACTGTACTCCAATTTATTATTTCTTACTTGAGTTATTAGTTGAAGTCTGTTACCTCCAAACGACATGTTCCTTTCTTCATTATTAAATGCTAAATGAGTGATTATTGATTTCTTGTGTTTCTGAGCTCCTACAAAAAGAGGTAGAGGTGGTCGTTGACCGCTTGGTCTCGGTTTTTCTTTATTTCCCAGCTCTAGCTCTGTATGGTCTTCGCCCTCTTCTATATCTCGTAGGTACTGTCTGCTCTGGTACTGATCATCAAGGTATTGCTCCATTATTTCTTTGTCGTACGGTTTGTTAGGTATAAGGCTTTGTACGATTGTCTTCTCACTGGTGACTGATTCCTCTTCATCGTCGAGAAGCTTGACAGTCTGTTCCTCGTGTTCATGCACCTATAAATGAATGAAGTTATGAAGTGTTTGACTATGTTTTACAAAATTAATACACAAGTACATATACATGTACTTACGTTGTGTGAAAATTTTGAGCTGGTTCCAATCGAAATTGGATTTTTTATAAATTTTAAAAGTTTTTTCCATACTGTACTCCAATTGATTATTCTTGCTTGAGTTATTAGTTGTTGTTGCTGCTCCCTTTTATTATTATTTAATGATAGCATTGATATAGTGGTGGGTGTTGCCATGGGCAGGTCCTCGTCATTGCCACTAGCCACAGCCATCAAAGCAGTCCCTCCATCATTATCTTGAATGTTAATATTTGGATCTTTACTCAGTAAGAGTTCAGCAATCTGGTGATGTCCATTGCTATTAGCAATCATCAAAGCAGTCCATCCATTATTATTTTGAATGTTGATATCTGGATTTTTACTCAGTAGGAGTTCAACAACCTGGTAATATCCATTGGCACTAGCAAACATCAAAGCAGTCCATCCATCATTATTTTCAATATTAATGTCTGCATCTTTACTCAGTAAAAATTGAACAGTTAAGAAATCTCCTTTTTTACTAGCAATCATGAGTTCATAAGCAAAGTCATTCTTTTCAATAGGTGAGGTAATGTTAAGTTCAAGTAAGAAAAGCAATACTTTTTCATTATTATTTTGATGTGCTTCCTGCAGTGCAGCCTCAAATGTAAATGATTTATCTTCATCTCCCATCATTAAAGTAACATCATCAATCATAACCTCAAATAAACCAATCTTATATAAAGAAACTCTCTGTTCAAAAACTACTTCTATTGATGTCTCAGTTTGTAATTGAGGTAGCAGATACACACATTTAAGGTTCAAGGCATTACAATGTACTTCTTGAAGTGTTAGAAAGGATGAAATAGGCAATAAGTAAAATTTCTCCATTTTATTTAAATCAGAAATTGTTCTTGAGCACCATGGCTTTTTAAATCTTAATATCATTTTTGAACAGCCAACACCATCAGGAAATTGCATTCCTCTAGTCATCATTGCTAGCTCCAGTAGGCTAGTGGTATCTTTGAACATCTTCAGGTTAGTATTGTAAGCTTCTACCTGTTCCTTGATAGGTTCTGTGATAGTACATGGTATTGTGAGAAGGTTAATGTTTAAACACGAGTAATGAGGCTGGAGCAACTGAACAAGTTGATGAGCATTTTCACAAGTAGCATCTTCTTTGATATACGATTGAAAGTTTTGTTTTGCTTCTGTCATTAAGGCTTTGCTGGTTAAAATATTGGTGGCAACATCAAGGGAACTACTGTCTAATGCATGAAAGCACTTTTGCAGACATTGAAATTTTTCTTTTAAATTATTTTTAATGATATATATGAATGGCTCATAAAAATGACTACTCACTCTTTTTTCTTTAACAACCATTTTCACCATGCCTTCAACTGAAGTGTCATCTTGTGGTATAATTCTTTCTCCTCCAATTGATTTGTATATATGCTGAGAGAGAGCAGTGCAGGCTAAATAGTTCAATCCAACATATCCTTTATTGGATGATAGTTGTACAAATGGATTGGAACAATTTTGTAGCAACGATTCAAAAATTTTGATATGTCCACCTACACTAGTTAACATTAATGCAGTCTGGCCCTTTGAGTTTTGATAATTTAGTTCTATTTTAAGTTCTATTAAAAGTAATGATAATCTGTAATATTCAGGACTACTTTCAATACTTGTAATGGAGTGTAAAAGCGACTCTTCAAATGTGAAGCTAATATCTTCCTCTCTGTCAATGATAGTTTGATTGTCAATGATCAGCTGAAATATACCAAGAAGATGCAAGAAGGGAATTTTAACCTGTGATTTCATAATGAGAGGTTGAATTGATCCTTTGAAAAATACCAAAAATTGAATACAAATTGATCCTCGTAAAAACTTCTTTATGGTAACATATTTTGCTTCCTCATTAAATAAATATTTCAATAGCTTATAAACATGGCCAATAGTTTGATCATTCCATCTTCCAGACAGCTTAAGAATTATTTTGGGATCCACTTTGGTACTTTCTCCAATAATTGCTGCTTCAATAGTTTTAACGATATCATTGAGTTGTACTGAATCAATGAATTTATCAATGCTATCACTATATTCATCAAACCTAGCCTGTAGTACAGAGTCATCAATTGGGTTGGCTTCCATTAGATCATTTATTGCATCGATATCAATAAAACTGTGAAGAGGTAGCATTCGCTCAAATATTTCATCAATTGTTACACCATCATGTGCTAAACCAGTTTCCTTATAAGCATGTTGAACCCATCGAGCAAGATCGATTGCACGATGTTCTTCACTGGAAGCATAATATGTAGCAATATCAGCCATCAGCTTTGCATATTTCTTGTGTAGATTTTTAAGTTCCATTGCTAAGCTATCACTAGAGCTAAGCTGTACTTCTTTCGGAATAAATTCTGTGACTACCTTAGTAAGAGAGAACAACACTTGGTAATGTTTAAATACTTCATTCTCCCAGTCTCTAGCTAGTGCAATGGCCTCCTCTTGAGCTGGACCTCCTGCAGTTGATAGACACTCTATAAAAAGGGAACATACCTCCATCATCTTTTTTGCATCTCCTTTGTATAACGAAACCATTGCCAAGAAATCTATTTCAATTTTGTCAAAAGTCGGTGAATGCCTAACTTCTTTATTGATCAAATTTTTGCTGTACAACTCACTGGCTACTTTTGAAAGGCAAGTTTTAGTTGTTTCCATTAATTTTGAGTAATGGCTTCTTAGGACTTGCTTCACCGTTCTGTAGACATTATTACTCAAATTTGTACCTAAAGTAAGAAGAAATAGTTGCTGTATGAACATAAATTTTTATACCTGAATGCTCATCTAAGACAATATGAGCTAAAGTAATTTCACCAGCATCCAGCAAAGCAACAATGATGTTTCTCCAAGTTACATTATTATTAAGACAACATTGAGCAACATCCCTCATGCTATCAAGAGGTTTGATATCCTCTAATTCCTCTTTCTGCTTAATAATAATATTGCTAAGGACTTCTTGTGTCATGTTAGGAAGACAACAGACAAACTGTTCCCAAGTACCAGCAGTAAACTTTGAGCTACTCAATAACTCAACCAATTCATCTTTTGTTGGCTTATCTATTATGATGTATAATAAACACTAAACTGCATAGATCAGCCTTGCCTGTAAGAGTGGGTCCAGGATTAAGTTCCACATCCCCTGATATGAAGAGGAGGATAAGAAGACAAAAAATAAACAAAACGGGCGGAGTCTTCACTTGTGAAGCAGATCTAGATCTAGTCTCGTTCCCAGCTTTACTAGCTCCAGTTCCACAGTAAATGTTACTAGTACTACTAGTACAAGCACTGGATTGTGCCCAATGGCGGTAACAGTTCCAAGATCCTACCATGATCCTACTTTAACTCTCCACTGACACAAATCAATCATTATTTTTGCAAGATAGCAATTACGAGGGTGTGGCTCATAAAAACTCGCGTGCGCCATGACGCATGTTTTTTCATGCGCTAGCGTCATGGCCGGATTTATGGTCAACTTCCGGTGTTAGGAAGGTAGAAAACAAAAAATTAAAATGGCAAAAGAATAAATTAAGAGATATAGTCATTAGTTCTAGCAGCTGATGGTGACTCATCAATGAACTGTTCTATTAAAAATGGCATTGAATCTCCTTCCTCCTCTTCATTATTATTAATCAGTTCTTGTATTGAGCTGGTCATGCTAGGAATACTGTAAGAATCATCAACTTCACTTGTCACACTATCAGTACGAGTAGGTGTAACTGGAACTGTAGCTAACTCCGGTGGTAATGATGGTAACTCATCATTTATAATAGACTGTAGTCCTCCATTGTCTAGTAGCTGCTGTGATTGAGATACTGTAGAATCAGCTACCTTTAAGTATGCATGATTGGTTGCATAGCTGGATGAAGTTGGATGTGATTTTTGCTCTGAACTCTTAAAAGAGTAAAGAGAAGGTATACCAGTATAGGAAGGAGTTGTAGGAGTCTGTCTTGTAACAACAGTGTTAGACTGTGCTGCAGTAGTGCTAGTCACATTAGCAGCATAGAAAGAAGAAGAGAGAGGAACAGTAAAGGGATTAGAACCACTGATGTTAGCTACATAATCCAGTGATTGCTTTCTGCTATCATTCCTTCCATTACTAGAGTAGCTAGTATTTTCCTCTGCAGTCTGTCTTCTCATTCCTCCATTAATGACAGGAGCTGTAGGTGCAACTGATGGTTGCTTTAAATTAATTCTTGTTGGAGATACTGGAGGGACTGCAGGTAGATAATCTGTTCCTGTTGTATTTGATCCAAATTGACTCATATTTAAGCCAAATGAAGCTCCTGGTTTTGAGCTTGATAGTGATCCCAATGGTGTAGAGAACAAAGATGGTCCTACTGGTTGACTCATCACTGATTTTGATACTGAACCCACTGATTTTAACGGCGTTAATTGTGACACAGTCGAGTATAATGATGATGAAGTGCTAGCTTGAGTTGCTGGACAAGGTAACGAAGAATTAGTAGATGGTGTGAGAGTTAAAGGAGGAAAGGAGAGAGAAGAGAATGGAGAGGGAGAAAAATTAGAGGAGAATGATGTAGTAGTAGGAGTTTTAGGAGTTTGATGCTGTAATGTCATGAAGCTACTAGTAGTAGAAAGTGATGGTATATGGGCGTTAGTTGAATCAAGAGAATTCCTCTTCATATTTAAGAGTTCTTGAACTGGAGTAAGCTGGGCAGAGGATCTTCTTTTTGTATCTTCCACTGATGATCTTCTACTAGCATTAGTTGAAGGTAGAGTTGCTGGTTTTAGTTGATTTAATCCAGTGGAGAAAGATTTAGTAGGTGAGACCGGAGGAGAGAAAGAGAATGGAGAAGTTGGAGGAGATGGAGATAAAGGAGAAATAGATGGGGGAGAAAGAAGATGAGGAGAGAGAGGAGGAGGAGAAATAGATCGAGTATTCTTTTGATAAGAGAAAGGAGGAGGAGGCCAGGTTGGTTCACTAATATACTCTGCATTGATTGCTGATATCGGAAATTTAGTTTGATCAGACATTACGTTCATTCCTGTTACATTATTAGCTTCAACTATATAATCACCAACCACAGATTGCTGCAGAGCAATCATGTCTTTCTGTGGCAAAGCTGTCAAAGAGTTCTGACTTCCATTTATAGTACTCGATAAAGTAGTAGGAGGAAAAGGGAAAAAGGTCGTCCCCATGTCTAGTCCTCCTTTATTCTGTCCTTCAATGCTTTGAGCTGATTTCGGTGTGTTAGGATCAGACTCAAACCCACTGGACCTCCTCGTCCTTGAAGGACCAGCCCCCGTGGGCAGAGGACAGCCACCGGATGATGTTTTAGTAAGAGATAGATTAGAGGGATGGCGAGGAGGATCACGAATGATTGAAGGATTTGATAAGAACACGGAATCAGTGGAACCGCCCGAAGATAATATACCAGAAGAACTGCTGCTTCTGTTGGAGAGAGAACGAGAAGCAAACGACTGCCTTGAACTTGATTTCCTTCCTCCTTTCGTTCTCCTGGACCCTTCCCTCATGCGCCTACGCCCCTGATTCAACATTTCATTTTTCCTAATGTTTCTCTCAAAACTGCCCGGAGGCTCTAAGCAGCTATCCTTGCTCTGCTTGCTCTCGTTCCCACTGCTGGTACCGCCCCCCTGACCTTCAACTGTAGCTAGTGACAATAGCGAAGAGCTATTTGATGGTATGGGCGTGTTTTCGGTTGAGCGACCAGTAGGTGGGCGTGTATGAGTAGGTGGAGCTTGTAATGGGAAACTAGGAAGGTAATCGCTAGTTTGAATGTTAATTGGAGGATGTTGCATAACATTTAAGCCTCCAATAGCTGACGGTGCATTATTATTTAAAGATAGCATTGATACAGTGGTAGGTGTGGTCATGGGTGGCTCCTCATCTTCTGGGCTAATCAACAAATCTAATTCAATGTCATCGAGTTTTGTAGAGGTGGGTGTGGTCTTGTTTAATGCAGCTGCGCCTTCTCTCGTCGTGTGAAAGTCTTGGTGATGAGTGTATCCATTATCATCCTGGAAAGAAGAAGGGAAGAGAGAGAGAGAGGAAGGAGGAGGAGGTAACATCACTGATACTGTTACTCCAGGTGGATTAGCTAAAGGTGATAACTTATGAAGCCTGTCGCCTCCAAACGACATGTTTGATTCTTCATTATTAGATGCTAAATGAGTGATTGTTGATTTCTTTTGTTTCTGAGCTCCTACAAAAAGAGGCGGAGGCGGCCGTTGATCGTTAGGCCTCTGTTCCTCCTTGTCCCCTGGCTCTAACTCAGTGTGGTCTCCGCCCTCTTCTATGTCCCGTAGGTATTGTCGGCTCTGAGTCTGACACTGTTCAAGGTATTGCTCCATTATTTCTTCATCGTAAGGTTTGTTAGGTATAAGGCTTTGTACGATTGTCTTCTCACTGGTGACTGATTCTTCTTCATCATCGAGAAGCTTGACAGTCTGTTCCTCGTGTTCATGCACCTGTAAATGAATGAAATTAAGTTGTGAAGTGTTTGACTATGTTTTTACAAAAATACACAAGTACATACATGTACATGTATAAATGTTTTTATGCTGTGTAGAAAGTTTGAGCTCATTTTGATCAAAATTGCATCTTTTACAATTTTTTTAAAGTTGCTCCAAAATTGGGCTAAAGTCCAATGAAGTGTTTGACTAAATTTAATACACAAGTACATGTACTTATGTTGTGTAGAAAGTTTGAGCTGATTCAGTTGCTCCCTTGCATACTGTCTCCATTGATTATTTCTTACTTGTGTTATCAGTCGTTGTTGCTGCTGCTCCCTTTTCCTTTTTTGCTTTCTATAGTAACAGTAACAGCAAGTGAAGCAGGTAATGAACACTGCTAATAAAATGCATCCTCCAACTACTCCTCCTATTATGATGTAGGTTTTATTTTTATCATCAATACCAGCAGAACTTGAGGAAACTCCAACAGTTGGAGAAGGGCTGGGGGATGGAGAGGAGGAAGACCCTGCAATTAAGAAAAAAAATAATAATAAAATCAGCCAAAATTTCAAGCACTAATAATACACTCTAATAATACTACTACTACTACAACTAATAATAATAACAATAATAAATAAATACTGTATATTACCTGCTCTATTAAATACATTCACATCATACACATAGCTCTCAGTACACGGCAAGTTAGCTCCACAGAAAGAAGCCCTGATGCAATAATGATCATGACCACTATCCCCAACATCAATCATATGAAATTCATCCCTCAGTGATATATTGAGACTTCCTTTGTACTCCCAGTAATTTGGATCAGATGTTTTTTGACTGCATTCCTCAGGAATCCATTGTATCTTTACATAATAGTACAGCCTACGAGAAGAAAGACACTCCATAGTATCAGTTAGCTCCCAATTCATTCGAATAAAACTGGAGTTCATTATCGTAAAATTCACATTATCCTGCACAAAACCATAATTATCTAGAAAAGACATGAATAAAAATAAAAGATTTATATAAAAAAGGATTTTATTTCTACCTAAGTTGGTCCAGTTAGCTAGAGTGAGTGTATTGCTCCATTTGCTCTTTCCTGCATCATTTGAGTATGATATACTAACGCGGCATTGATCCCAGCAGTAAGTATTGTTGATGCTGATACTAACGCTTGATCTATTAACGATATCAGTGATGGCATCAGTGATGACTTGATAGCTGATTGATCCACTGCAGTTCAGTCTCACTGTAACATTGCTAACACCACATGTTGCATGGAGCTATAGAGGAAAGAGAAAAATACAATATTAAATTTGTAATAATAATGATATTGTAATATTAGGTAAATTTTAGCATCGTTTTTGTAATTATACATGTACATGTAAATAATAATAAATTAATAGTAATAATGATACCTCAAAATTAGCAGTGAAGTTATTCCCATTCCTATTGTTCCAGGTTACATTAGTGAGTACTGGAGCTGCTATAGGAGGGAGTGCTGGAGTGCTAAAGCTCATTTTAGCCGTCGTTAGCTTATCAATCGGTTCCTCCATGAAATACCAAAGGGTGACCCACCAAGAGCAATGAAGCAAGCAACCAAACTGATAAATGTTACTCTGTATGAATAAGAAATGAAAATATTATGATAATACACAGCTAATGGCATCTCTCTCTCTCTCTCTCTCTCTCTCTCTCTCTCTCTCTCTCTCTCTCTCTCTCTCTCTCTCCCTCTCTCTCTCTCTCTCCCTCCCTCTCTCCCTCTTTCTTTCTTACTGTAGCTTCATTATGATGCATGTGAGTGACAGGTATGTTCATATTCATTCCAATACAAGAATAGTTCACTTGATATGTGTAATAGATATTCATCAACCAGCTTGCGTTATAAGGCCCATAGTAGCTGCTATAAGACTCAGAAATGGAATCAAAGCTAAACGTCACGTCAAATTTATTATCAGCTTCATTGGTTGTCATAGATACAGACATATTGCTGAGGACTAATGCAGTAGGGTGACCCAAATCATGATCTAGAAAGAAAGACAGACAAAAATGAGATTAGCTGTTCTCTATTATTCTTTAACACAGCAAGAAAATTTATAACTAAAAGTCTGCAATTATAAGAAATTGAATCACACATAAAAAGTTTTTTTGACAAAATTTTCATGCTACATGTATATACATTATATCTGATGCTTGCACTCTACATAAAATTCCTCTCTCTATCTCTCTCTCTCTCTCTTCTAACTCTTACTGGGTATTCCACATGATTGAGCCGGTACATTCCCGTCCAAGTCACTATACACATAATCACTAAACACCTCCTCCTCCTCTTCTTCTCCCGGCCTCATTACTACGGCAGACACAAAGAACCTTCTCGTCCCAGTAAACATCAAAGTATCGCAAAAAGTATCATACAGTATACAAGTGGAGCTAGTCCTTAGTGTATACAAGGCATGCTGACTGGAATGAGGGCAGGAACCATCTTTGAAGTTATGTAGCATCAATAGGTTGTACTCAAGTTGGTAGCTGTTGTCTCCTACTAACAAGTGATTGGGAGGATCCCAACTGATTGTGTAGGTGTCGTTATGTGTGAAGCTACCGAGTTCAGAGAGCTGGGAGACACTGATAGGACCAGGTGGATTGGGTTTATCTGAAAGAGAGAGGGGGAGAAAGAAAGAGAGGGAGAGAGAGAGAGAGAGAGAGGGAGGAGTAGCAGGTGAAACAATAGACCAGTAAAGGGTAAATACCTCAATATGTAATATAATATACTCATGATAATTAATATTCATTACATGTACATGTACATATACATGTACATGTACATATACATGTACATGTATAAGCTTGGGGCGTGTGTGTGGTACAGGTATAACCATCATGATGACACATATTACATCATGAGCACATATTTATTACAGTGAGAAAATATCTAGTATACTGAGATTCATATCTTAACACCATACATGTACATGTATATGACACCTCCAATACATGTGCATTTACATGTACATGTACATGTATGCCATACATACAAGCAACTGCATGCATTTAGCAATTGGTAAAATAATAAATAATAAACAAATAAATAGCTCATATTGTATTATTTTTAAATTTACCTGTATATTTTATTCTAACTTGACTGCTCCTCCAGTGATACTCTCCTTTCACCACACACTGGTAGCTGCTAAGAAAATGATCGAGAGAATAGTTGCTCGATAGAAAGAGGGCGGAGTCATTGAGTAACTGTGGAAACAAAGAGTTTGTCGTCACGAGCTGACCACGAAAGTACCAGAAAATGGAAAATGATTGAGAGGAATTGGAAGAAGTGCTGACTCCGCAGAAAAGTGTGATATTTGCCGGAGCAGTGATATTAATATCTTTAGAGGTATCGGGAGAAACAAAATGGCTACCGGGGTCAGAAGAGCCTTCAATACTCCATGCAATGTTAACAATGGGTCTCCCTAGAATACAAGAATATACTAACATATGCAAGAATATGCAGAAGTATACTAGAATATATTGAAGATACATGTATGCAAGAGTATAACATGCAAGAATATACTAATTATGCAAAATTATACAAGGATATACTGGAGTATACTGTTAATATGTAAAAGTATATTAGGATATACTGGACTATACTGTACATATGCAAAAATATACAAGGATATACTGGAGTATACTGCACATACCTATGACGTTCACATATGCAGTGTGGCTCATATTAATCCCTCCAGTGGTGACAGAGCATGTATAGTGAGCTGAATCATTGATATTATTAATAATGAGGACTTGGGGAATTGGTGTATGTAGTGGAGTATCATCATCATTCTTGTACCAAGAGTAGTGTATGGAACTGTTTAAACTGCTGGCATTAACAAGGCAGTATAAAGTGAGGGATTTACCAGCTGCTACTGTCTGAGACCGAGGAGTAACAACAAATACAGGATCTAAAAGAGAGAGAGAGGAGACAGGGAGAGAGAGGGAGAGAGGGAGAGAGAGAGAGAGAGAGAGAGAGAGAGAGGGAGAGAGAGAGAGGGAGAGAGGGAGAGAGAGGGAGAGAGAGAGAGGGAGAGAGAGAGAGGTGATAAAAGGGAGTGACAGGTTAAAGGTGAAACAATACTAGCAATGCATGGTCTGTCACTTCATGAATGACATTAGTCTCTCATACCAAACCCTCCCTCCCTCCTCTCTCAGACTATGAATCCTAATAGTCACAAGTAATACGACACCATTGATGTGTATGGACTACACAAAGCACTCAAAGTCTTAAATACACTCATACCAGAAACATTGGGATATGACAATGATAACAGACAAGCTGCAGAAAGCTATTGTAATGATAATAGAATTGAAATGCATGTACACATATGTATATTGAACTACCATTCTCTCATTTGTCATCATTATTAATACAAAACAAAAGCACCAAAGGGGGGAATGTCATCATGCAAAAAAATAATACTATTACATGTTGTGAATCTTAGTTTACCTGTAGCATCAGTGACTTTAAAGCTAAAGGTCCTTACGACTGAATTAACTTGACACACAACAACCTCAGTGTCTTTATCAGCTCTCACAATCTTCACATATTTGTTGCCAGGTATGTCAGTACATGTATGACACTCAAGCCATGTTGGAGTTGAAGAGGTTGGTTTAGAAGGAGTGCAGTCAAGGAAGGCTGAACCTCCACCTGGTGGCAGGTCTATTTTGACACTCGTCACGTCATTTATTTGATAGAAGGAAGAAGAGGCTGTAGTGTTGTAGATGAGATTACTAAATGTAAGAGGAACTAGAGAGAGAAGGGGAAGAGAGAGAGGGGGGAGAGAGAGGGGGAGAGAGAGAGAGAGAGAGGGAGAGAAGAGAAATAGGCAGCTAAAATAATGCAAAACCTATTACACATTCTTATGCAAAATTAGACAACAGATAAATATCATTATTAAGGTCAGATCTCCTAATAAAGAATTAACAGCCAATGTGGGAGTGCCCAGCTAACACCTCAAATCATATTCATTGCTTTAATATTCATTAGCCACTAACACAGGATACACCTGACCCCCCAAAAACAATATAAAGAATGAGACGTGTACATAATGTGCATTAGGGGATCAATGAGAATGATAGTGTATCATCATAACAAAAAACCAGCTACTAAGAATGATGCATGGTTGCATGAATGAATGTGCAGTATTAGTGTTTATAAAGCCTAAGGGAAATACCATGCAGTCTCAGTTGAAAAACTTATCTAAAAACAGACACTTATCTATACATCAGGCTATATACACAGACCAATGGGATATGGTAGTCCTTTATGATTCTATTATTCTTAGCATGGATAAAGTTTGCATGGAGGCACATGGTTCTGTACATGTACTACATACCATTAGAATCATCTATGAAGGTTACAATCTGTGGCAAACTCCTAATGGTGTAGTTTCCATCGAAAAGTTTGCAATAATAAGATCCATTGGTGGAGACTGAGAGAGTAGAGTTACCACTACTCAATTGAACTTCATCTCGAAACCAAGACAGAGTGGGACAGCTCCCATCATACTTATAGCACACAGGAGTTGGAGAAACTGAGCAGTTAAGATTCAAGCTCTCCCCTGCATAGCTTGTATGATAGACAGGCTCAGTAAGGAATGAGAGAGACCGAGGCTGAGTTACATAGAGGTTGCTTGGGGTACTGCTCTTTAGGCAGTTTGAAAGATTCTCGAATCTTGTGTCTTCGGTCTTGGTCCATTTGAGAGGGACTCCACTACACGTGGTGATTGCTATAAAATAGTATAAAAAAGAATAAATAAAGGTTATGCAAATAAAGAAGTATTATATACATGTACACATATGATTATAAGTTAAGGGGGAAAGCTCAGTATTGCATTAAAAATCAACAAATGTGCAAATAAAGTTTACTCAACAAAGCATGCAACTATACAATAGATGCAAGCTGCATGTTATACTTCAGTATAAGCCGCATTCATAGTGTAGATCAGTCAATGGAATATCAATATGAAAACGCAAGTGAAGCCCACACTATAACACAATAAGAGACAAAAAGGAGAAGCTCTGTAATAGAAATCCCCTGCCCTAACCCGCATAGTTATGATATGCTCCCAAGACACTCCTGCTTTCTCCAAGCTTAAACTAACTTACTAATGGCTTTAGGCTTTAATGTACTTTTACTGTATGCATGAGACTTACAATCCGTATAATAAGCCCTCTGACACGTTTGTGGACAGGTTCCATGACTGTAGCATGAAGAGAAGGCAGAGGAAAGAAGTAGATACCACAGCAGGTGTTTCATGAATTGTAGTCTTCCTTCACGAGTCAGTTTGCAGAGTTGTGGCTTCATCTCAGTCATGCATTACAAATTGCATTCGCTCCTTCTCCTACACGGCCTAATCTACTCGCTCAATCTTCTTTTCTGCCGCTTGAGCTTCAAAACCTTGATATAACAAGGGTACTAAAGATAGTCTTCCTTTTCTCTCTCCTTTTTTGCTGGTTTTATTTTGACTAGCGCGAGGTCGTGTAGGCGTGGCTCATTAATAATCAATTTTCACGTATATGAAGGTGTTAAAATTGCAGGACAACAAATGTACAAATACATGATGTAGATGGAAAAGAGAGAGTGGAATTCATTAAGGAAGATGTCATTAACTGGATGCAGCCATTATTTCATCTACTTCATCCCAGTCTACAGAAGAAGACGAAGAATCACCTCTCTTGTTTTTAAAAGTTGCCTAAAACAAATGAAAACACCATATAAAATATATGTGAAGCAAACTCCTGAGCTAAAAGTTCATGTACATTTATGCATATTCTTCTTCCTACCAGTATTTCTGCCATTTTATCTTGTTCTCTTGGTGTTAGTCCCTCCACACTAGCTATCCTCCTCTTGCTATACCCTCCTCCCTCAGTCCTTACTGGTGATTGCTGGACACTTCTTGATGTCCTTGCACCAAACCCTCTTCTATTCTCCTTCTCTCTCTTCTCTTTGATACTAGTAGTAGTACTAGTGATGGTCTTTTTCTTTTTCTTGTTGCTTGTTTCTGGTTCAGTTGGTAGTTGATGTTTAAGTGAGTTTGAGAGAAGAGAGCTTGATTGTAGCATGTCCTCCATGAGACTGTGAGCTTCTTTTAGTCGCGAGTGACGATTAATCTCCTCTTGTTCTCTAAAGAGAAGAAAGAAAAAAGAAAGAAGAAAGCAGAAAGAAAGAGAGAGAAGATAACATCATGAACATTAACTTAAATACAAATATTTTTACACTTTACTTAGGCATGTACATACATGTACATGGTCTTGACAAGTTGAAGTGACAATCAGTTATACATTGTACATGTACATGTACACCAATGTTAGATGCATATGAAGGTGTACATACATGTACATGTACAATGTTAATTATGGCAATTTATCAAAGCTGTCTATAGTAACAGCTATAACTTCAAACACAAAATATATATTTCTATACATGCACATGCAACACATGAATTTTCAGCGCAAAGTGTGTACATGCAAGTACATGTACATGTACTTTACCTTTTCTGATGTAGAGGTTTCTTAGGTGTGGAGGAAGAAGACTAAAGAGAGAAAGAGAGAGGGGGGGAATTTAGTGAGTGATAAAAGTTACTCACAGCCATCATCATTATTAAATAAATATGCTATCATTCATTAATCAGGCTCCACACCACACAGTTATTATAGTCAATCACACATAGCATAGTTGTAATAGTGATCTAGGTACATGTATACACCTTTTGGTTACAGTTCCCTTTTCCTCTCTCTCTCTCTCTCCCCTTCTATTTATACTTTGGTTTTAAAAGGTCGCTTCTCTTTCCTTCTCAGTTCTTCACGCTGGTTCTTGTACTCGGTATTTCGTTCGTAAAACTTCTTCGACATCCATCTTCTTAGATTGCTTCTCTTCTCATTAGAATCACCATCAAGAGACACTCCATCATTAGTGATGTCAGTGTTAGGAGTAGTACTTCTAAAAGTGTGCAATTGACTAGTAAAAGAAGTAATAGAAGTAACAAGTAAATCCACGACAGAAATGTAATATTTTTTATTACTAAATGTTATTTGTTTAAAATGCCTAGAGTGAAAATAATAATTTTACAATAACTAGATATTTTGTTTTTAAATGTAGAATTACTTTATCTGTAAAAGATAAGAGAACATTTATTATCATCATCATTATTATTATACTACTGCAATAATACATGTACATATTACATGTACTATTGAACGCTGCATCATATTGTTATTGGAGATTAAAGAGGAGTAGATCCTCAAGTGAAAAACAGTTTACATCTTGCCAGTAGTCTGCCTCTACATAGCAATCACTTCATCAGTAACGCTACACATGTACATGTACATATACCAGTGAACTTTCAACATGACAGTACATTTTGGATTTTAATATTATAATACTCAGCTAATCATATACAGTCAAACTTGTCTATTTGGGACCCAATAATAATGTCCTGATTATAAGTGTTCTTATTTCAGAGGTTCACCAATACACATTTACATGTATATTGTAATAATTGAACTTTCAACATGACGGAACATTTTGTATTTTAATATTCAACCAATCCTCTACATCTACAGTCAATCTGTCTACTTGGTACCCAATAATACACTAGCTCCTGATTATGAACCTGTCCTTATTTCAGAGGTTCATTAATACACATTACTATTGTATTGGGACTGATACTACCTGTCCTCATTATAGAGGCCTCCTTATTTTAGAGTGTCCACAATAGCAGGTTATACTGTATCAATCTACTACACATGTACTACACTTATTCAAGAGCTAGATGGTATGTGTGTGCGTTTTTAGCTATGGTGGTTGATACCTACATGTACTTGTCATTATTAAGAATCTTAATTTCCTACCCATGGTTGCATGTTTGTAACTGGCACAAACAATAAGTTCTTATCTCCCTCTCTCTAGTACTCAAAAGCAACAGTGCACATGTACTAAAGTGTGTGTACATGTAAATGTATTTCTACTAGAGAGTATTTTATTGTGAATCATGAGTTTCTCTTTAATGAGGAGTGTTATGGTGTAGAGGGCAATGTGTGGAAAAGAAAGAGAAAGTGTATTGCAAACCTAAAGTATTAAAACCACATGCAAAATTTATGCATCTTATACATGTACAATGTACATGTATATTGATTCCACTAAAATAGTAAGTACATGTACATGTAGAAAGAGGTAGAGAGGGAGAGAGAGAGAGAGAGAAAGAGAGAAAGAGAGAAAGAGAGAGAGAGAGAGAGAGAGACAGAGAGACAGAGACAGAGAGACAGAGACAGAGACAGAGAGAGACAGACAGAGAAGGATCACCTCCTAGGTGTATCTGTTCCTTTCTTATAGTTTGGAGTAGGAGGTAGAGACCTCTCTATAGATCCAATATCGTAACGAGGAGTTGCAAAAGGTGATGGAAAAGGTTGACCATATTTAGAAGGAGTGAGAGCCTCTTGTCCACCAGTGGGAGTGAGTCTATCAATAGTGCTTAATATCTAGAGAAGGAAAGAGTTGTGTGCAATATACATGTAGCTAGAAATGTCTGTGGCCTAAAATTTTTTGCAAATATATAACCAGTAAAATTTTTACAGATTTTATTTTTGCTAATGCACCTACATGTAAATTGGCCTGAGAAAAAATTTAAGGATTAAATTTTATATTTTCTGCAAAACAAATGGGCCACAAAAATTTCTAGCTGTGTACATTGCATGCTGTAATTATCAAAGAAGTTCTTGTCTTACTCTTCTTGATGTCATGAAATCATCTTTAATGTCTTCAGCGTTAGCTTCCAGTAAGGACAACTGCTTCTCTAGCAGTTCAAACTGCTTCATGACGTCATCAGGTCGGTTGCCATAGTGATGGCGAGGAATAGGCGGAGTCCTAGTGACCCGATCCGTTACCATAAAAACCTCTTCCTCCACATCCTCCTCCTCCTCAATATCAATGACGTCAGTGTATAGTCTCTGCCCATCATTAGGTAGGTGTGATTTATCATTAATATCAACTTGTACGGCAACTGATGTCTTTAGTGATGGTACCCGTTTAGTTGGAGGAGGTGAGAGAGAGGGGGAACGGTGTGAGGGTGAACGAGGAGGAGAAGGAGAACGAGGGGAAGGGGGTCGTGGGGGTGTTCCTGAACAAGGGGAAGGGGAACGAGGAGGTGTACCTGAACAAGGAGAAGTAGGTGAGTGGTGTGATGGTGAATGAGTGTGTGATGATACTAATAATTTTTCCTCCTTCTCCTCTTCTTCACTATAGCTGCTGGTACTAATGTTAACGTGTTTTATTGCACTAAGAGTTAATTGATTTTTAGTGAGACGGGTATCTTGTGGGCGGGGCTTGTTGCTAGGTAAAGTTTGAGGAGAAATTTCTTTAGGTAGTGCTAATTGTTCGTTATTAGGTGATGATGGGCGTGGCTTGTTGCTAAGAGATGAGTCTGGACTGGACAAAATTTCGTCGGATGATGACGTAATCCTAATGGGCATGGCTTTAGTAGCCGTGGTAACCGTATGATCAGGAGATTTAAATCTTATTTGTCTTTTTTGTCGACTAGTGGGCGTGACTCTACTTCGGCTCTTACGTACATGTACATGTTGCATGTTTGGGACGTCCGAGGGTAAAGTAAGTAATTTGAAACCGTTAGCTCTCATTTTTGATAGAGGATCTTCTAATTTTAAAAGGGGCGGGGCCACAGCTGAAGGTGGGAGGAGTTTAGGAACAAACGGTCTCGTTGGAATATTAGGAAGAACAAGCTCCACCCACTCCTTATAATTAATAGGACGTGGCACTTTGGCATTATTAGGTGGCTTTGACGAGGGAATACAAGTCGTTAAAAAAGTAGGCGGAGCAATTACTGATTTAATCACGGGCGGAGCCAGGAAAGGCTGATATTGAGGACTATTTTTATCACTCACTAACTTTAAAAGTGGCGAAGGCCTTTCATCAGTTTTAGGAACTCCTCCAGAAATGAATGTATTTTTCAAATTATTATTATTATTATTAATTCTTTGTTCGCTGATTTTATGAAAGAGAGCGTCTACCCCGGGATATAAATCAGATAATTGACGAGGTACTCCTCGAGAAGGATCGTTGATATTAGGAGGTAGAGATAGTAACTGATGCTGTTGTGAAGGATCAGGATTATTATCAGGTAAACTAAAAGTTTGTGGTATTTCGCCTTTTTTAAGAGTAGAAGATGATGAAAAGGTAAATCCCTCACTGGTGCTCATTCCTTCTCCCTCTCTCATCATTTGAGGCATTTCTCCAGTCAGGGAAGAAGAGAGGAGGTCAGAAAGAACCATTTGGCTACCGTCCGCCATTTTGTAATTGGTTTCCATGGAAACATTAACTTTGAGCCACACCTTCTAATTAATTAAAATAGGCGTGGGCCTTAAGATTAATTAAGACAGTAAAGGCGTGTTCTGCAAAAACTTTTCAGGGACTTTCTCTCTCTTTCTGTTTGTCACAAAGTTTCTAAAAGAAGCATGTCCATTGTAAGTAATAAGAATTACTGCATCTACAATGTACATCAGCTAACTGACCATTATATCTGGATATATTGACTCATTTGTTTATACAGAGGAATATTATGTCTTTTTCATCATAATATGTAATCAATTTTGTAAGAAATGCAAAATTTGAGGCATAAAGTAAAGGATATTAGCAGTACTTGGTAGTCTTTAAGCAGCATTTGCCTGCAGTTAATTATAATTAATCTAATTACTCATTTAGAAACTAATTGGCTGTTAATTAAGTTATTAATAGTTATTAAGTTTAAAGTAATTAAGTAATGGTTATTATGTAATAATTAATACTATGACATCATTCCTTTTGGAAACATGTACTCAAATAATTAAAATGTTCCATGTACTCTTTTCCGCCTATTAATCTCATTACGGTACATGTACATGTACATGTATAGCGTACATGTACATGTATAGTGTACATGTAATTAATATAATATGACGTGTATAATATTACTCTCTTGTCCTTATGTAAAAGAATTTGGATTATGCGACACTTTATGACATAATTATTCAGTAATGATTGTACTTACTCCACGGTTGTTGTAAGAATTTATTTTGGGAGCCAGTTTAGTCATGTTTTTGAAAGTGAATCCATACTAATTGGGACATTGTTTTTGGATGTAATTTGATAGCCATGTTTTTTTTAAATCACTCCAAATTTTTATTACATTTTCTGATACATGTACATATTAATGTCCTTATGCTATGAAAAAAGTTTGAGCTGATTCCAACAAATAATTTTCGAGTTATGAGCATTTTTTTTAAATGGGCCAATTTTTGAAAAATACCCAAGGCTATAGCCCATGGTTTTTTCCAAAAAATAGCTCCGAAATCATCTCAAATTTTTATTACATTTTCTGATACATATTGATGTACTTATGCTGTGTAGCAAGTTTGAGCTGATTCCGACTTCAATTTTTCAAGTTATGGCCATTTTAAGAAAACACCAAAAATCAGAAAAATAATTTCCAAATTATGAGCATCTAAAGACACAACAACTTTAGGTTTCATACTCTAATTAATGCCCACCACTCAGTGATTTGGTTCCTGCATTTACTTGTATACAGTAACAAGCATTAAGAGACATACATTATCATAATGTTATGTACATATGTACATGTACATATACATGCATCAGATTGCAGACCTCATTATAATTAACTGAACTGTTGTCTATAAAGAATAAACAAGTATGTACACTGTATGTACATTATCTTAGCATAATGAACTCACGGTATTTTCCCTCACTCACGCTCAGTCACTTAAAAAATTTGGAATATACGCATGTAGTTTATTAATAGTTAGTATTTCCTTCATTTCAGTCATTCTTGTTGCTTTTTGTCTTAGTTCTATGTAGAGGTGTGTTGGTGTAGGAAAGCAGGAATTACTCTATTAGGGATTTATTGTTATAATGACACATTGGGGGAAAGTTGAGAAATTTTAAATGCATGTACTTGTAACTATTTTAATTAGTGTAAAATTAATTGTAGTGTCTGTCTCCTACCCTTTTCTCCCCTCTCTCTCTCTTCCTCCCTTTCTGTGCCTTGGTCTTTGTCTCCCCCCCCCCCTCTTTCTCCCTCCCTCTCTCTCTCTCAGCAAGTTAAAGATGAGGATATCAGTGATGAAGGAGAGCTGACAGTCTTTATACAACCACCTGGATCTGACCTTTACATCAAAAGAGAAAGAGTAAACAATTATTATTATTATTATTATTATTATTATTAATACTAACATTCTGTTGTGCTTTCATAATGCAGAGAATTGGAAAATGCAACTGGAAAGTCCTCCTAATGGTAACTGACAAAGCTAGACTCATAATGATTGATATTCTTTTGGCTTAGTTTTTGGTTTTA